CTGACGTGATAGCTTTTCCTGAAGAAGAGGGAGTAGACTCCCAGAGAGCAGAAACTTGACGGCATTGGAGGAGACCACAGTCAGGCCCACCTGGGGAAGGACATGTGGGAACTACCAGGTTGTGTGGGAACAGAACGGGCTGCTTGGCGAGCCAGGAAGCTCCCTCCCCGGAAACACACAAGAACCTCTCAGCACTGTATTTTAGGGCAGCACAAGGACTTCCACATCTGCTGATCATTATCATTAGTTACTAGAGCAAAGGCTACACTCCGTGCTGGAGTGTGGTCAGTTCATTTTAAGTGACTTGGTTTTATCCACCTGCCAAGTGATTTGGGATATTCTTTTTTATTTAAATTTTTTTTTTTTTTTACATCTATTGATTTTTGAGAGAGAGCACAAGCACGGGAGGGGCAGAGAGAGAAGGAGACAGAATCCGAAGCAGGCTCCAGGCTCCGAGCCATCAGCACAGAGCCGGATGCGGGGCTCGAACTCACAGACTACGAGATCATGACCCGAGCCAAAGTCGGACGCTTGATCGACCGAGCCACCTGGGCGCCCCAGTGATTTTGGATATCCTTACCAACTTTCTTGCCCAAAGATTAGATTGACTCTTTATATTTCAACATGGGGTGTTTCAAGTGTGGTTGAATTTTAATTGTATTGCAGGTTGATCTGTCATTTAGTTGAAAGAGATGATTGTGAGGAATATGTTTTCATAGGGAAGGCATGACTGTGTAGTCAAAATAGCATGGTTGGGGTAAAACCACATAAAACGGAGAAAGAACCTCTGCCCCAGATCTCCTTTCTAGGTACCATATCACACTTTTATATCGTTTCTGTGTTCTGATATATTTTTTTTAACATTTCTTCAATTTTGAGAGACCGGGAGACACAGAGTGTGAGTGGGGGAGGGGTAGAGAGAGGGAAAGACATGAAATGTGAGGCAGGCTCCGGGCTTGTGAGCTGTCCACACAAAGCCTGTCGCAGGGCTTGAACTCATGAACCACGAGATTGTGACCTGAGCCAACGTCAACCGCTCAACCGACTGAGCCACGCAGGTGACCCTCTGTATTCTGATATTTTAAATGTTGTATCTTGCACCCTGTTCCATGTGGCTAGTAATTATTTGAAAATATAATTTGTAGGGGCCCCTGGGTGGCTCAGTCGGTTAAGGGTCCGACTTCAGCTCAGATCATGGTCTCATGGTTCGTAAGTTTGAGCCCCACATCGGGCTCTCTGCCATCAGTATGGAGCCTGCTTCAGATCCTCTGCTTCCCTCTCTCTCTCTCTCTGTCCCTCACCTGCTTGTGCTCTCTCTCTCTCTCTCTCAAAAATAAATAAACATTAAAAAATTTTTTAAATAAAGGAAATATAACTTGAAAAGACACCAACATATTGTATAGATATTCATGGCTATTTAATCATTGTCTTATTGGTGTGCGATTAAGTTGTTCCAGATTTACACTTTTATAAATAATACTGTAATAAACATCTTTGTATTTTTTAAAATTATTTCCCTAGAGTAGGTTTCCCAAAGCACAATTTCTACCTGTTTTCTAAGTCTCTTGATGCGTTTTGTCAAATTGCTTCCAGAAAGTGTTCAGCGATGTATATATTCTGGGCAGTAGCAGGTGATGGCTCTAATCTCAGCAAGCATCCATCAACACCAAGAAGACAGAAAAGAAAAAAAAAATTGGCCATGTATATGGGCAAAAGAGACGTCATTATTGTGTAACTAATATTTGTTTAATTACTGAGCATTTTTTAAAACTGTAATTGGTAATCATCCATATTTCCTTTTCTGTGAATTATCTGGCGGTGCCCTTTACCCATTTTATGCTGGGTACATCTGCTTTTTTCTTGTTGAGTCATACGATTCTTGCCCCAAGAGAAATAACTCAGCCTACCTGGTTCAATGTAATCATCACCACCGTCTGAAAAGAGCTACAAATACCCCTATCACTTCCGTGTACCAAAGTCCCCATACTCCCATCACCCTCCCTCTAAACACCGGTCAAACAACTGTTAACTTCCACCCGCATCAGTCCAAGGTTTCCCAAAAGATTGGGAGGGATTTCTACCCCTATCCTCTAGGACAGGTCTAGGAAAAACAAACAGTCAACCGTGTAGATCCAGACACGAAGACCAAATCATTTGATTCACTGATTCATCATCATAGCCTGACTTAGGGTGGATTTTCAATGAACGCTTAAAATACACGTGTATATATACAACTGCACTATGTAGATGTATGTACACACGTATATGCAAGCTCTATTTTCACGGACTGTTTCTTACGAAGTCAACATCGATACACGCGAAATGGCTAACTTGGAGCGGTCATGTCCTCAGTAGTTGAGAATTTATGAAGGCACGGAGAACATACGATGGGCCCAGCCGTGGGCATGCTGACTGATGAGGTACAAAAGGCCAAGTGTGGATGACTGGGAGAGGCAAGGGTATCAGAGCACGGGTGGGGGAAAGAAGGAAAGTGGGAGAAAGCAAGAAGAAAATGGACATGTGTCACAACAAACTCTCCTACTTTGGCCCCATACCACCTACTAAATCACCCTCTCCTCTGCCTCTGCAATCCAAGAGCACTCTGGAGAGGCACCGCTTGCCCTGCCTGGACCCCTCTCTCCATCTCCTTGTTCCTGGAAACCTGGCGGTCTACCCGGAAATCACTTTTAAGCGAGCGACTTCTATCACAATGTAGTAGGTTCTTGCCCGGAAGAGAAGAGAAAGAAGGCAAATGGTACCTGTGACTTTAGCAAAGTCCTTTCTGCACCCGGGGACAGCTTAGTTCTCGCCACGCACGAAATGGAGAAGCCGTCTGATCAGAGGCATTGGGAAGGTAGGACACAAGACGGCTTCCCCTTTTAAACAGGCTCGCTGCTCTGCAAGTTTTCAGAAAGTTATCAAGTTCAGTACAGTTCTTCTTTTCTGCTGCTGGAATTACATACTAAACCCTCAGTTGAGTAATCTTTGAGATGAACACTACTGATGTTCAGCAGCCGTTTCGGGGTTCTGCATTCTCTTGGCATTGTCCTCTCTCTCTCTCTCTTTCTTTTTCTCTTTTTGGAGGGGGGCAGATAATTCTTGAATAAACATTGCTTTGACCCGGGGCAGGGGGCAGGGCAAAAAGTAAAATCGAGTGGCAGACGGTAACTACGTTTATCGTGGTGAGCATGAAATAAGGTAGGGAAGGTAGTTCGAATCACTAGGCTATGCACCTGCAACGGATATAACATTGTATGTCAATTATACTTCAATACCAAAGGGAGTTTTTAAATTAAATCAGAACTTACCCGCGAAGGCAAGATGAGGACCGCGGGATAACCTAGTTATTCCCCAGAGCTCTAGAGGAGACCTTGATGAGTCGAGGTGGAGCGCAGGGTTAGGCGTCCCCAGAAGACCCGAGAAGTGCCTTTCCGTGTGACCGAATAGCTCCATAACCTTCATCAGCAGATCGTGCTGGACCTCAGCCTTCTCACCTGTAAATCATCAGGTTGCCATGGAATCGACTAAGATAAATACGGAAGAAAGACTCTGTAGGATACACAGGGCTAAGCAAACATGAGCTGTGGCTAGGCTACCACCGTGACACGTGTGCGGGCTCTATGTGCTGATGGGTCCGGGGCGCCTGTCGCGACGCTGGGCACCGCGCAGGCATCACCCAACATTTGTGGGAAGAGCTCTGACCTTAGAGGCGTGACCTTTGACAAACTGGCCACGTGGACGACGTCAAAGCAGTTCGCCAAGCGTCTATCAAACATCTCTTATGTACGCGGGACTGTGACACACACTGCCAATGGCAAAGAAAAGATGGGGGGAGAAAGGAAGGAGTCTGTCGGGAAGGCTCATGGACATCCCGGAGGCTCGAGTTTGAGCCAGCTTGGTAGCCAGGCTTCAGTGTCAGAGGGGTCAGCAGAAGCCTTGCCAGAGAAGAGTTAGAGAAACCGGAAACGTCTGGTAGGAAGAAAGAGATAGGAAGTTGTGCTATATTATGATAGAGTCGGCCTTTCCCTTGGGCTCTGTGGGGCATCCCCGGGTGGGGAGAGGCTGCCACGAGGCAGATTTCTGCCCCAGAGAACAAGAAGTCTCTGCAATGTGTCCCACAAGGGGGACCATCCTGGGAGCCCCCTGATGGAGCTGGGGACGCATGGCCTGAGTGGCCTTTGTATTCAGCCCTGCGAGGGCAGCTCCCGGGGGCCAGGTACCACAGCCACAGGGACCAGAGAATAAGGAAAACTCTCTCCACAGGTGAGAGGCTGGGTTAGAAAATGCCAGAGGCCTTGCCTAACTCCAAGGCTTCCTGCTGCATTTCTGGGGACCCTCTTTCTGCCCCAAGTCTCCCATTCAAGCCTCACGGGGGACTCACTGGTCCAGACACGCCTCGGGCAGTCTCACCCTCTCCCCTCTCTGCTGGTCTGCACCCCGTCCACAGTGAAGGCCCAGCTCCCCCGTGAGGACATCCTTTTCTGCTTAGAAAGACTGGACTCCTGGGTCCAGGCAGCTGGAATGGTGCTTGGTTTCCTCATCTGCAAACGGAGGTAAGAACAACACCTCCATCTATGGGAGGGTCAGGTGAGGTGGCCCATGAAACCCGCCTGCTTGTGGGAAAGGCCCAACCAGGGCCCCACCACGATGACGGTGTCTTAACGTAGCAGGTGCTTGGAACTGCCCGCCCCTCCTCTAAACTTCCGTGGCATTTCTGGCCGACCTCAGTTTTCTGGTGCTCAGCATCATCGGAAGAGAAAAAAGCACCCCTGCCCTCCCCACCTGTCCCCTTATCTTCTCTGGTTCTGAGGATGTTAAGAAATTAAGGGGCCACACATGACCCCGTTCACTAAACCGCAGAACTGGATGCTTTATCTATGGAGGCAAAGGCAACCCCAAGGGCCACGGGCAGCTCCCTTTCCTGGCGAAGAGGACAGGGCTGAGCGAAGCCTTCCCCGCTATCCTTTCCAAACTCCCCAAGTTCAAAAGTCACCGCACCTCCAGCAGCGGGGAGGGTGGAAGCCTGGTGTGGACATTGAGTGTCCTTCATGAGAAGGAGGGTGGCCGGCAGGGACGGGGCTGGGGCTTCTGTCTGATAAGTGGCCACCCGCCCCTGAGCTCAGTCTCCAGCCCCTCGCTGGGGACTTAGAATTCTCCTGGAGTGATTTCAGCAACCGAAGAACTTCTTTACCTTGTGGAACACGCCAGCTGTTGGTGATGGCGATAGAGGGAAGTCAACACGGAGAGGCCTAAAAAGGTGACGGTTCCGGAGTCACCTCGGGGTACGTCGACGGGGAATGTGGAATTCAGCAGAGGCTTGGATCTTCCCGGGAGGGACCCCAGAGCGTTCTCCACGTGCAAGCAATGAACCATGGGAGCCCTTCCTGGGTGCTCTGGTCAGGGCAACGTCTTCCTACCAATTGAGAGATTAAGCTTTAGAGAAGCTTACGATGGGGGCTGATTTATGTGAGGGTAAACACAACCACCTATGATTCTTCTTCCTTTTTTTTTAGTTTTTTTAAATGTTTATTTATTTTTGAGAGAGAGAGAGAGACAGAGCATAAGCCAGGGAGGGGCAGAGAGAGAGGAAGACAGAATCTGCAGCGGGCTCCAGGCTCTGAGCTGTCTGCCCAGAGCCCTACGTGGAGCTCGAACTCACGAACTATGAGTTCATGACCTGAGCCGAAGTCAAACGCTTAACCGACTGAACCACCCGGGCGCCCCTCCCAATCCTATCTTTAATGTAGAAAAAAGAAATGTGTTCTTTCAAATAGCACCTGTTAACATTCTTTAAGACTAGGATTCCTTAGAACTCTGGGAGATGCCGGTCTGATGACTGCAGTTGCAAACTGCTTTCTGGCCCATTCTATCATCTATCTATCGCACAGCCCGCGAGGTCAGCAGGGATGCTCACATCGCAGACGACAAAATGGAGAGTCCGCGAGGGGCTTGGCAAAAGCCACAGAGAGGGTGAAGGGCAGGGCTGCTCTCCACCCCCGAGTGTAGACTATCCACTGAGTTCCTCTTTTCTCCTGCACTATCCCACCAGCTGAGGGACCCGTGCCTGCCGAGCTTCAGCTGATGATGAGGACGCCCTTGGGGCCAAATGTACAGGCAGAGCCCAAAGAGGTTTCCCCGAGGCCCCAAGCGGCTTGTTCAGCCTTGGGAGGGCCAGGAGATTTGGGGTGCTTCTTCCCTGCTCCTCGAGGCGCTAAGCTCACAGGAAAACCTGACCCCAAACACCAATACCCTGTGATCTTCCAGATTCTCAAGGTCACATACACGAATGCAGAAACATTTCAGAGGAACAGCCACAAATCAAACCGAACAGAAGGCAGCTTGGGAATATAGGGGCATCGGCAGGAGAAACAAACACAGAACCTTCAGAAGCTCTGGGGCAGGGAGGTGGGGGGGTGGCCAGAAGGTTCTTGCAGGAGAGCTCAGGTCAACCTCAGCCTTGCATGTGTGAAAGGAAGTGATTGCAGAGCAGTAGAGCGTCCGAGCTTCCTTGAGGGTCACCCATCTTCCGGTCACCAGCTCCTGGGCCCCGGGTCTTGGGGCCCAGCCGGGGCGCAGAGACTGAGCTCGGACCACATGCTTCCACTCACCCACATTTTCCCAGGGGGGTCGTGGGAGGGCTTCTGCAGCCGGCACGGCCTGCTTCTGGCTCGCTGGGGGTCCAGGGTGTTTCTGGGTTCCCTCTGTCCACTGCACACTGCCCTCCTGTGAAGCCCAAAGGCCTACAGAAACAATGGGGCGCCTGGCTGGCTCAGTCGGTTAAGCGTCGACTTCAGCGCAGGTCGTGATCTCGCTGTTTGTGGGTTCGAGCCCCGGGTCGGGCTCCGTGCTGACAGCCCGGAGCCCGGAGCCTGCTTCGGATTCTGTGTCTCCCTCTCGCTCTGCCCCTCCCCTGCTCGCACTCTGTCTCTCTCAAAAACAAATAGACATTAACAAAAATAGACAAGAGAGACAGGAAATAGAAGGGACGGCAGATAACAGATCTTTAAGCTCATTTCTCCTTCGCCCAAATAGCAGCCAGAAATGTTTCTCCCCTGAGAGAAAATTTCACTTCTGCTTTGTGCACGACTCAGGAGCATGGCGTTTGGGAGGCTTCTGCGACCCCCAGTGGCTGGAAGGACACCCAGAAGTGTGACGTTGGGGTGGACAGGCCTGAGGGTTCATTGTCACAGAGGAAGATTAATCGGGATACGTTTTGTCTATTGTTTTTAAGTTATTTATTTATTTTGAGAGAGAGAGAGAAAGCAAGAGGGGCAGAGACAGAGAGAGAATCCCGAGCAAGCTCCTCACTGTCAGCGCAGAACTCGACGCGGGGCTTGAACTCAGAAACCACGACATCATGACCTGAGCCAAAATCAAGAGCTGGAGGCTTAACCCACTGAGCCGCCCAGGCGCCCCAGTCTGGATACTTTTTAAACGTGTCAAGCCTCTGTCTGCGTTGCACGGCACGAATCCTGAACGAATCACAAAATGTGCCTAAGTCTCCACTGTGGAAAAGATCAAAGAGCCGTCAGCCCCCAGTATGAGGGGACAGAAAGGACTCGGACAGTTGCAGGAGTGACGGGGGTGGGGCCTGCCTCCACGGTGTGGAAGTTGCAGGAGGAGACGAGGGGCAGAGAAATGACTGTTTAATAATCAGCTTTTCCTGAGCACTTTTATCACAGCAGGACCTCTGCTAAAGGCTTTCCGTGTTTCGTGCGGAGTAAACCTCTCTCGGTGAGTCTGCGAGGTAAGTGCACTTGTGTTTTACCATCTCTCGGAGGAGGAACTGAGGCAAGTTGGTTAAGCAATGAGTCCAAGATCACATCACCAGAACACGGTGGGGCTGGGCCGGGATCCCCCTTCTGCCTGATTCTAGCCCCACTGT